ACAGTTCATATAGAAGAATTTAGTCCACACAAGTTATGATGTAGCTATGATCATCACAGCCAATTTAAAATGCGGAAACTGGGTTCTAGAGAAGTCTATGCTTCTGAACTAGTAGTAAGTTACACACTTCTGTGAGGACAGAAGCCACACTTGCCCTGTGTCCCCTACTCATCAAGGTCCCCTGTATGCACCTAGGAGGAGCTCAATGAAATATAGCCCTGTGCTGCAGGGCAACATAGGAGGTAGATGGTCTATGCTAGAGGAATCCTGGAAGATTACAAAGGAGCTGAAAGCTATCACTTAGTGACGTTTACCATCAAGCACCACAAATCTTCCTCAAACTACAGCACCATCTTGGAACAGCACGTGGCACCTAATGGTAGTGGCCAACAACTGCTCGTGGATTCTGTATTCGCTAGACTGTACTTTTCATTATTATTTTAGTGCATGGTTATTTATAGAGGCTCCCAGGACCTAAAACAACTGTGCTGTGTTACCCAGGTGGCAGCCTCCCACAGCTAATGTTTACCAAGTCTCTGGATTGAACCAAGGTACCTTGTTGAGTGACTGACCTGCATAGCAGCCAAGTGGCCTAATGATGCACTTCCTGGAATACATATCCCTGTACTTAGGTGACGCACAACAGCACTGGGGAGTAGAGGAAACTCAACACACCCCCCCTCCAACTCTTGTAATTCAAGTGAGGTAAAAATCTTGTAGAACCATTTTTTAATGTATAAAATGCAGGTGAGATGAGTTGGCCTGCCTTTAACCTCTGGTGAACGCCATGTAAAGTGATGGCCACTGGCTTAATACACAAGAGCATCCTTCTGAACCAACTAAATCTCAACACTAGAACTTTAAAGTACTTACCTGTAGCCCAAAAGATAACAAAACAGATCCAGAAGTTTATGAGGACTGCCAAGACTAAGCTGGGGTTTTAGCTTCATTGTTAACACCAGCAGCCTTAATCTGGCACCCCAAAAAGGTATCTAAGAACTTCCTACTGCACTGTGTTCCTCAGTTCACTTCAGGAAGAGGCCTGAAAATACTTGGCTTGGAGGCTGAGTGTACCTCTCCCTACTAAGTGCTTTTCTGATGATATTACACATTCTCTACAGAAACAATGTCTACACCTCTCAAGAAGACACCTCCTGAGATCATTACAAACTGGCTTCCTCAAAGCTTAACAGAACTGGAAGGTTCTACAGGATGTTTCTTCCATCAGGACCCTCACCTTTATCAGGTAAATTTCACAAATGCTGAGAAGTATAAAAATATGTCACATTAGTCGTTGGTTTAAATTTCTGTTCTGGAACACAACCACTCATTGACAGAGGACATGCTAATTTACTAACTAACAAAAAAAAAATCAATCATCTATTTTCCATTACTATAACAAAATACAGAAGCTAGGTACTTTGTACTTTTCGATTTTGGTTGTCCTTTCAGTTTTTGAGACAGGGTTTCTCTGTGTAGCTCTGGCTGGCCTGGAACTCACTCTGCAGACCAACTGGACCTCGATTCAAGAGATCCACCTGCCTCTGCCTCCCAAGTGTTGGGATTACAGGTGTAATTACCATGCCCAATCTAGGGACACTTTTTCTTTTAAAGGGTTATTTTGGTCAGTTTGGGAGGCTGGAAGTTCATGTTTGGAAATTCCCATCAGTTCAACTTCCGGTGAGAACCTCAGTGTGTGGTGTGATCTCATGGTAGTCAAGTGTGTGACCTCATGGTGGTCAAGTGTGATGGTGAGGGGGGAAGAGAGGGGGAACATAGTTGGATAGAAGGCCAAAAGAATTACTCACCCGTTTCTAGCAGCTTGCTCTCAGAGAGCTAACTTACTCAGTTAGACCACTGTTAATCCACAATACTCAACCACTCACTTTCCTGTAAACTCCAGCTCACAGTACTGCCACAGAGTGCACCACTTCCCACACAAACCTCTGGAGAATAAACCACATCCACACTACAGGATGAACCTTTAAGCAGCTAATTCATGGGATGTGTCTAGTAACTCCTCTTTAAAGAGGAATTGTAAGTAAATAGGTCCAAACCGCTCTACTCTCCGTAAGACGTGATGGTGATTTTAAGAGTGAGTGAGCAGAGAAAGAATGCTGCAAATGACTAGACCTGACGTTTCCAAGCCCACACAGCATCTGGTCATCTTATGACTCTTATGTGAACACATCTTCATGGGAGAAGTAAAAAATGGAGGCTTCTACAATAAGCCATACCTCTCTTTGTATTCGTTTTTCCAGACAGGGTCTCTCTGCGTACTCCTGGCTGTCCTGGAGATCCTCCTGCCTCTGCCTCCTGAATATTAGGACTAAAGGAATGTGCTGCAGCCACTGCTGCCACTCCGCTCTATCCTACTTCTCTTTTGAAGAAACAGTGTCCATAATTCTATATATTCACCTGTGATCACCTTTCTACGTAGGTTTCAGGTTTTAATATTCGAATGCATACACTCATATCAGTCCTCGGGCTGGGTATGTAACTTAGTGGCACGGGGTATGCTTAGTCCATGTGAGGCCCCTCTGCCACCCCGAGCACATCAATTCTCAGAATGTGTTCTTAATCTTCTTTGGCCCTGACCTACTGTTTTAGGGTAACAGGCAATTATTAGATCTTCTAAACATAATGGCACGGAGTTCCACTGGTTTTCCAATTAAAAGTAATCCTACTAAATGATAAGAGATGTTTCTCTAACTTAAAGTGTTTCATTGCCTAGATTTGTACTAAGATCTAGGTAAACCTTAATGTCATTCTTATTCAAGGAAAATAGGCCATAAGTTGCTAGTTAGTATGCTTTTTCCCCAGAAACTAACTTATCACTGCTGTTTAAAAGAAAAAAAACAACAAAAAAAACCAAAATAAAACAAACAAACAAAAACCCCAGTCCTATTTTCAACACTAGTCTCCTAACAAAGGCTTGCTTAGTTTAGTTAAGTAATTATCCCAATAAAGTCATTCCTCCGTCTTTTGGTAGACAAGTCTTGCTATGTTTGTCAGTACTGAGATTATACAGTTATAAAATACAATCCATTGATGCCACTAACACATCTTTATTGTCCTCACATTATGTAACTGTATGGCTTTCTCATATAAAAGCAAGTATAGGAAGCATAACATAGGGAGATGTGACTAAGAGTAAGTTGTAGTTTATTTATTTGTTTCTTGATGATTGAGACAGGGCTTCACTGTAGCTCTGACTGGCCTGAGATTTGCTTTGTAGCCTACTCAAGAGATCAGTTTGCCTCTGCCTCTCCAGAGCTTTAGCTAGAGGCAAACGCCACCGCAGCTGACTAGTTGTACTTCATTTAGAAAGAAAAACACCACATATAGTCCCCTACACACATTCTCATATCCTCCCTCTCTCTCTCTCTCTCTCTCTCTCTCTCTCTCTCAAAGCAAGTCATGGGGGGGAACTTTCTAAGTAACTGACCAAAATGTAAACATTTAAGAAAAAGATGGAGTCCCTTTCATCTGCTCTCTAAAATTCTCTAGCTCCATTCCCACTGCTCCTAATGCGATTCAGAATAATGTCTAAAAGTATTATCTTCTACTGCTCCTCAGAATCATATAATCACATTTAAATACCACCCCCCCACACACCCCAATACTAAGGATTGAAACCTATAGCTTCTACTGATCTAGGCAAGTCTTCTACCATCGAGCTCATTCCCAGCTCTTTGTTTTTTGAGACAGAGTTTCTCTGCATAGCCCAGGCTGTCCTGGAACTCCTTATAGAGCAGGCTGGCCTTGACCCGCCCACCTCCGCCTCCCAAGTGCTGGGATTGAAGGTGTGGGCCACCAGTGCCCGGCTTTTATTTGTTTTCTTTTTTTTGTTTACATTCCCAACTCTTAACTCTTTAACTGTTGTCACAAGGGTGGACGTAATTTCAACCTGCTCAGTTTGTAAACTTTTTCTCAAGAAAGGCTGACTCAAATCGGTTTTGTGTGATTCATCCCAGATACTTTTTAATAAATAAGGAGTATACAGAATGTGACGTGCAAATTCAAAGACTTAGGACTCTGAAAAATGCAAAAAGACAACGTTAAGCTTGGTAAGCGAAAGGTAATCATTAGTGAGGCATCCCGTTTATAAGGGTGACTGCACGGCTCTGTTCTAGACATTGTCGCTGGGGTATTGTCTTATCAAATTCATGATATGATAGTTTCGGAAAACAGACAAAACCCTAGTTTGCATTATTTCCATAATCAGATTTATACTAACTGTCAGTTTAAGTCAACTGGTAAGAAACACATTATGGAAGCAAAGGTCTTTTTTGCTTTGTTTACCTCAAACGCATCACCCAATTTTCCCATAGCTACTTTCAAACTCACGATCCCCAAAACTGCTTTCAGCCTGACAATCTGCTCAATAGCTCTGCCCTTGCAAACAAAGCTCTTGCAAGCTGGAGGCCCCGTGCAAACAACAAAAAAACAAACAAAACAACAAAAAGAAAACCTCCAAGCGTGGCAGGACCCTCAGCACCACCACCCTACAGAAGCTTATCTCTAGAACAGTCCTAGTTTCAAGGAGATCTGAACCATGCTTCTCAACATGGCTAGTGTAAGCAAACTCCAGCGTAACAAACCCGCAGGGAGAGATGCACATTCTTGGAGTTAACCAGTAAAAAGCATTCGAGAGCAATGCCACAGGCTAGGTTAATGTCTATGCAGGAAAGGTGTACCCCACCTCCACTTGGTCAATATCCTGAGTAAGTCCTGATTCCCGAGATCCACCCTCCTAGCCTTGACCCACCTTCCTAGTCCTGATCTGCCCTCCAAGCCCTGATCCACCCTCCTAGCCTTGATCCATCTTTCTAGTCCTGATCCTAGTCCCGATCCTCAATGCTCCTAGACTCGATCCACCTTCCTAGTCCTCATCCACCCTCCTAGTCTTGCGGTCTCAGTAGCAGAGCTGGGGAAGCGGCTCGTGGAACTGTGCAAACACTTACCACTCCACCCCCACCCCTCATCCTGTTGCTCACCGGTGCTGTAGCCCCACGAGTCCCAGAGTGATTACATGCGGCACATCTAACTGCGTGGGCCAGTCTCCAGAAGCGATGCACCCGAACACACCACATTCCTCACGGATCCCCGACTCCTCCAGTTCCATGGCGCCGCCAAAAGCACGTGGAGGGACCTGCTGCCGCGGCGTGGTCCAAGCACCAACCAGCCGTCCGCTCCGCTATAGAGCGTCTCTGAGGCTCGCGCTACAGACTGCCTCCTCCTTCCCCGCGGGCTAGATTCTAGCTACTGCGGCGGCGCGCTCCGCAGAAGGGGGCGTAACCAGCTCGGCCTCCAGCTCCTCGCCAATCAGCTAGGGCGCGGCGCGGGGGGCGGAGCTATGGCGTCAAGGGGGTGGGGTTAGCCCTCCGCCGCAGAGGTCAGGATCGCTGCTTCTCCTGCACGTGGAAGTCTCCGCTATTTTCCCGCTCTCAAAGGCGTAGGTGATGAGAGTAGCGCAGTTAATCGCGTTGGTCCCTAAGAAAATCTGAGCCGTGCGTGCCCCTGGTCTCACGCCGTCCTCCGGCCGTCAGGACTTGGTCCGCTCCAACCCAGAAACCTCTCCGGCCAGCGGGGGCCTGCAGCCTGCGCGCCACTTTTGGCTGGCTGCGGGGAGGGGCCGCCCGGAAGCGTGGTCGCGTCAGCGCGCCTGCGCGGCGGGAAGCCTGGGGACATGGTTCCAGCCCGGTCCTTCTGGTTCGCCGGCGGGCTGCGGGGCTGGAGTTTTAATAGGGGCTGCGGCTAGGGTGTGTCCGTACGCTCCTCCCCGCCCCGCCCTCTAATCCTGTGATCGCTCTTGTTTTCCAGAGCGCTGCCTCTTTTTCCCGCGCGGTCTGCTCCTCTAGTTCACCTAGGATAATGGCGACAGCCGAAGGTGAGTAACTCGCTTTCGGACCCTCTAGGTTGCCCCAGCCCTCCGTCCGAGAGCTAGCAGGCTCGACGCACACGCGTGCGGCCCCGGGGTCGGATAGCAGCCCTTCTGGCAAACTCTACAAGACGGCGCCTGGGGCCCGGATTCTGCACACGTGGTCCAAGCGCTGGGAGCCGTGCGTTAAACTCTAAGGACCCAGGGCCTACCTAAATACCCAAAAAGAGGCCCCAGGGCGGGAGGAAAGTAGCAGAGTGGGAAAGTTCGATAGAGGAGAAATAGCCAGAAACTAACAAAGTTCCTAGAAACTTTGTAGTAAGCAGATAGACAATCAGGAAAATCTAGCAGAATTTTTGCTCATTCTGGTAAAGTTAACATGCCAATAATCTCCTTTGCTGCAAGCTTAATAGTTTAAACTGTGAAAACGGGTGCAAATTTTTTGGTCAGGTGTTGCTTTGCAATCCCAGGTATTTGGAATTATGGATGTGGGCTAGTAACTTGGGAGGCTGCTGAAATCGAAGGCAAAGTTACTTTATCCACTTTTTATTTGATAGATTTGTAGTTACATTACAGTTTTGTCCTTGCATGGTAAGAGCCTCGGGAAAGATGGTTCTTTTATACTAACAAAACACTGTCTTAGAACAACACAAGTTTCTAGATTAATAATGAAGCAAATTGTGTGGGTACCCCATCACATTCTTTCACACCTATGAAAACCAAAAGAAAATCCCCCTGAAGTTTAGGTGATACAGCTCCACAGAGTTGGGACTTAGGACCAGACTTTCTAAGATCAGAAAAAAGCTTAGAATCTAACCTCTTCTTCCTCCCGCAAATCTGATGTGTCCCTGTCCCAACAAGGGTCCAAAGAAAGTGTTCACATCTGTCGTTTAGAATGGTTGTGAGCTACCATGTAGGTACTAGGAACTGAACCTGGGTCTTCAGCGAGTGTTCTTAATTGCTGTCAGTCTCTCTGGCTTCTATTTTACCTTGTTCTTTGTGTGTCTGTGATTGTGTGCACTTGAGAACAGATACTCATGGAAGAAGCCAGATCCTGCCTTGAAGCTGGAGTGTGAGCTACCCAGTATACCTGCTGTGAACTGTATTTGGATCTTAGACAGGAGCCTTTATTCTTCTCTTCCATGTCAAATCAGTATCTTGCGTCTGTCTGCTGCTCTTTAGTACTTAGCGGCCCCGTGGTTCTTTGGTTAAGTCTACGTGGTTAGTAATGAAGTAGATGGAAGGCAGCAGTGTGCCAGGCTGGGCATAGAGATTTTCAAGAGGCCTGGGAAGAGGACACAAACATTAATGAAATTGGAGTTCTAGAGAGGAATCTCACAGCTCAAAACTGGAGTTATACCAAGAGGGCCTTTTTAAACTTTGTTAATTCTTCAGAACATTGGAAGATGCTGTATTCATCTTTTACGTCACTGAACCACCGTGGCAGCTGTTAGTCAATTTATCACCAGTAAAAACCCAGAGTCAAGTTTAGACTAGGGGGAAAAATGACATTTATTTAGTGCTAATTAGAATTGTAATCTCAGAAACCCAAGGGCAAGTAGGTTTGAATAGTGTATTGACAAGATACCTTTTTATAGTTTTATTTATTTGGTTTTTTCGAGACAGGGTTTCTCTGTGTAGCCCTGGCTGTCCTGGAACTCACTTTGTAGACCAGGCTGGCCTCGAATTGAGAAATCCGCCTGCCTCTGCCTCCCAAGTGCTGGGATTAAAGGCATGCCCCACCACCGCCCGGCCTTTTTATAGTTTTAAACTACAAGAACGCTTCATAACAAATCACTTACAGGAGTATAGTTGATGCTACCAAAAGTTAGGTTTTCTAATGAAAAGAAAAACTATCTCTGGGTAGTTTAGGGGGTGGGGTGGGGTGGAGAGTCAGTATATTGTAGGTAACAGGTTGTAAAGCTAATGTCCAGAAGCCCAGTCTGGTCCACTCCAAAGGTCATCTCACATAGTTGTGGCCAACTAAAATTTGATCCAAGAAAGGAATTGGCCTCCTGCATCCATTTTTAGGTACACTGAACCAATGATAGGCCATTGATTTTTCTTCTTGGACATTTAACTTTCCTGTGCCAGCTGGTGGTGTGACCTGATCAGCTTGTTTTGTTTTGTTTTGTTGTTGTTTTTTTCTAAACAGGGTTCTCTGTATAGCCCTGGCTGTCCTGGAACTCACCCTGTAGACCAGGCTGGCCTGGAACTCAGAAATCCGCCTGCCTCTGCCTCCCAAGTACTAGGATTAAAGGCGTGCGCCATCACCGCCCTGCCAGCTCTATTTTAGTATGGGTTTTTTTTTTTCCTATCTACTTGATTGCTTCTTAATCACTATCACTCTACAAGTATCTAGAATATTACGTGCTTAGCCATGTTGACCTTGACTTGGCTACTTGGTTTTATATCTTCTAATTACCCCTTGTTAAATTCTGGTCAATTTTCAGGTCTCTGTTTAGCTTTTACTTTGTTTTAGACTTTCTGTAAGGTGGTCCTGCTGTGAAGACGACATCCCATAGTCTCTGCCTCACATTTTATTATGGTTTCTTATTTGTTACCAGCTTTCTTCAAGACTTAGGTCCCTTGACAGCATGGTGTTGATGTCAGATGATTATTTCTAGGTCTGCATGTGCTCTGAGTGTGACCTCAACTCTTGTGAGCCTTAGTTTTCTAGTCTATAGTTATAATTTAACTAACACTATGAGAGTATATGGTTCTGTGTAAGTGGTTCTCATTATTTTTATGATATTAATTACTATCTATGCAGTGATTCAACATTTTAAAGGATTCTTTACTATTTAGTAAATCTTAGAGTCTGGTATAAGTCTGTTTTATTCCCACAGTACTGAACATCGGGAAGAAACTCTATGAGGGTAAAACAAAAGAAGTCTATGAATTGATAGATAATCCAGGAAAAGTCCTCCTGCAGTCTAAGGACCAGATTACAGCAGGAAATGCAGCCAGAAAGAACCACCTGGAAGGCAAAGCTGCAATCTCCAATAAGATCACCAGCTGCATATTTCAGTTGTTACAGGAAGCTGGTGAGTGCTTCCCTTTGTCTTTCACACTGGTCATTTTGCAGGGGAGGAATTGTTTGGATCAAGAAAATGTTATACTTCCTCATGTGTTATTACATCTAAAGCAGGTAATGGCTATGTTTGACTTAATCTGTTGGGAATGTCTCACGGGCTAAGTTGCATATGATAAAATGAAGGGGCGAGCTTTTAAGGTTTGTTCTAACAGCTTCCTGGTTTGGAAGTAATGGTGTTTAAGGTTCTAAAGAAGCTTAAACTAAGGATAGCCCAGTGGCCTTAGGTTCAATTTTCAATCTTGCCCACTGACATAGTTACTTTGATATTACCTTGACTGAGGAAACTTTAAAAAAAGAAAGAATTTTGGGGAGGCTTACAGTTCCAAGGAGTTAGTAACCATCCTGCAGAAGCATGCTGCAGACAGGCACGGCACTGGAGCAATAGCCAACAGCTTTCGCTGCAGGTAGGAAGCAAAGAAAGCTGACTGGGTGTAGAAGTTAGGGTTTACTTCTGTGAACAGACACCATGACCAAGACAACTCTTACAAGGATAACATTTAATTGGGGCTGGCTTACAGGTTCAGAGGTTCAGTCCATTATCATCAAAGCAAGTGTGGCAGTGTCCTGAAGGAGGTGAGAGTTCCACATCTTGATCTGAAGGCTTCAAGGACAAGGGTATTAAGGACCACACCCAGAGTGACACACCTACTTCAAAGCTAAACCTTCTAATAGAGCCACTCCCTGGACCAAGCATATGCAAATCATCACATTCCACTCCCCGCCCTGCTTACTTAAACCCATGCCTTTATTGGGGCCCTACCAACCCAAAGCGTGATAAAAATGCATTTAGTACTAAAGCCCCATAGTCTATAGCAACGTCAACAATGTTAAAAATTCAAGGTCTCTTCTGAGATTCATCCAATCACTTAACTGTGATCCCCAAAGCAAGACAGGAAACCAGCCAGGCAAACTCCAGCCTCTGCATCTCCATGGCTGATGTCAAAGCAGTCTTCAGATCTCCAACTCCTTTTTCATTTTTGTTGACTATAACAAACTTCTTTCTCCTGGTCTGGTTCCACTCTGTTAGCAGCTTTCCTCAGTAGATAGCCTACGGCTCTGCTGTCTCCACCTTGAGGTCTCCCTTCAGTGTTACAATGCTTCAGTGTTTGGGATGCATACATAATCTCTGGGCTCCTGCAAAGGGCTGGCATCACTTCTCCAGCTCTGCCCTCTGTAGCACTCTAAGCTCAGGTTCATCCACTCCACTGCCATTGCTGTTCTTGGTGATCATCCCATGGTACTGGCATCTCCAATATACCAATGTCTTCTACTGCAGCTAGCCTTCGCCAATAGCCTCTCACAGGCTCTCTTGCTGCCAAGCCTGAACTCCTTTGCATGACCCCTTCAGTCCTGGGCCATCAACTGCAAATGAGGCTGTACTTTGACCAGTGGCCTTCCATGGCCTCTCAGAGTGCCAAACCTCAGCTGTTCTTCATGCCTTCAAAACCAGTACCACTTGGGTGACTCTTAAACATTGCCAGTTACGGCTGCATCATGTGATACGACCTTGGCCATCTCTAGAACAGAGCTTCTTTGTGCTCTCAGAAAACACAAAAGATTTCACCTCAGTGATGCACCTCAGTCTCTTCTCAATCACGACTAATTTCTTAGCTCCAGCAAACCAGCATCAGTTGTCCCAGGAGTCTCTTCTTGACTATAAAGCCAGAGACACGGGGCCGAAGCTGTTGTTTGCTGGGACTGGAACTTGGCCCCCTTGTTCTTTTACATCATCACCAGCTTTCTGATTTCCAACTGCACACTGACTAGCTTGGCTGTCCCAGAACTTGCTCTGTAGATTGACCTTGATTTCAGAGATCTGCATGGCTGGGTTTTCTGGATGCTGGGATTAAAAGCATGTACTGCCACACCTGGATTTAAGCTTTCTCAACGTAGAACTTGCTCTGGACCAGGTTGGCCTTGAACTCTATCTGCTGCATGTACTTACCTCCTTAGTTTAAAGGCATGTGCCACCAAGCCTGAACCTAAATTTAGCTGGGTGGGATCTTTCCCCAAGGTCACCACTCTCTTAATTTAATATCCTTGAACACAGGATTCACCTCCATCTCACTTCCTGGTGCTCCTTTAATACTTAAATGCTGGGAGCCAAACACAAGAAACTACCTGCTGTTCTAAGAGAACCTACCTGCTGTTCTGGAAAGAATAGTCAGTATAAGTTTAAGAAAGGACTTCTTGGGTCTCAGGTCCCAGGAACTTAAAAAACTGGCATTTCCTGGGAGCCAGTTATGACAGTGGGATGGTCTAAGGCAATAAGGATGTGACAGTGGGATGATCTGGGGCAATAAGTGTTCAATAGTGGGACAGCCCTAAGCAGTGACCCTCACCCAAACTTCCTGTTTTGCTGTTTCTTTATAACCTGCACCTGAAATTAAAGTTTCAGAGCTTGATCAGAACCCCAGACTTGTTCGAATTCTTTGTGTCTCTTGTTGCCCCCTTTCCTAGGGTATCGTTGAATCCCCGCGGGCAAGGGCACTTGAACAATATATTTTTCCTTTCTAAGCATGATATGCTTGTTCCAAATGCTCTTCATGAGACTTAGCCAGTGAACCAAGTCTCTGCTGAGCATTTTTGAGACTTCCTTTGCAATGCAAAGGTCGAGTAGACACTTCAGACAAGACCCAAAGGCATCCACATTCTTCACCAAAATATCACCAGAACCGTCTCTAGGCCATATACTAACATTCTTCTCTGAAACTCTAGAGCCAGGCTTAACATTTAATTGGGGCTGGCATACAGGTTGAGAGGTTCGGTCCATTATCATCAAGACAGGAACATGACAGTCCAGGCAGCCATGGGGCTGGAGGAGCTGAAGAGTTTTGTCTCGATCTGAAGGCAGCTAGGACAAGGGTATTAAGGCCTACACCCACAGTAACATACCTACTCCAACAAGGCTACACCTCCTAATAATGCCACTCCCTGGGCCAAGTATATACAAACCATCACACTGAGAATAACTTGTGCTTTTGAAATATTAAAACCTGCCCCAGTAACAGACTAATTCCAGTAAGATCACACCTCCAAAGGGTTCCACCAAGTGGAAAGCAAGCATTCAAACTACTACCTCACAGAAAAAATTCAAAAAAAGAAACTAAGTTTTCTACAATCTTTATCAGTCAAATGAATCACCAGTTTAGCCTTGGGGAATTTAAAAAGAAGCCTTCCTGCTATTAGCAGCCCCAGATAATCAGAATTCACTCCCTTGAATGCTGCACAGTTGTTCTTTGTTCTTCCTATTGAGAACAGTACCTAATTGTAAGTCCCTCTTCTGCTTGTAAACCCTGAGAAGTATTTGAAGATAGCAGCTGTGCCTTCCTGTCCTGTTCTAAGTGGAAGACTTTTCTGCCGTTGGAGGAGTAAAAGATGAAACTAAAATTAGAACTTACTATGGGATGCTGGAGTGAAGAAAGGGCAGTTGGGGTGCTTCCTTCTTGTTGGATCATGAGGTTTTGGTTTTTGTGTATGTGCGCAAGAGGGCTCCAGTCCCACGGGAGGAGAGTTACAGGTGCTGGGAAACCACTGTGCACAGGCTGGGAACCATATCCTGCTCCTCTGCAAATGCTCTTAACTGCTCCCCAGGCCTGGAAGATGACAGGTTTGAACTATTATCAGAGAAGTTGTTAGTTTCCAAGGTCCAATAAAAAAGCTGTTCAGTCGCAGTGGCAGAGAAGCAAATGTGTGTTTTCCTCAACACTGGCTAGACTGGCTGCAGTGTTCCAGATACTACCCGATGGATGCTTTCTGCTTTCTCGGGGATTATTTAAGCAGTTAAAGAAGTATCTTTAGAATTTAGGACTGTTCTGATTGATAAGGTAGATCAATCTATAAGATTAATGTGATACTGAAATGTAGAACATGAGAAATTCTGTAGTCAGGTTATCTTCAGCGGTAATGGCACTTGGATGACTTCTGTACCTTCTACAAAGATAGATAAGTAGAGGGGAGACACTCTGAATATGAGTGAATAACTGGAGTGTGAGATACTGGACTCGTTAGGTTTCATATATGGTTAGCCATGTGATAGTAAAATGTAACTGTCTGATGTTTTGATAAATAGGAAAGAATCGTATTTTGTTAATTGTATGATTTTAATTCTGTACGGGTGTGTGCATTTGAGTGCAGGTGCTATAGAAGGCCAGAGGCATTGAGTCTCCTGGTGCTAGAGTTACAAGGGGTCGTGGGTGATAGGAATGGAATTCTGGTCCTTTGAGATAGTGGTAAGCACTCTTAACCTGTGAGCCGTCCCTAATCCCACGGCAGCATTTATTTTTGATAGTGTTTTGAGTTGGCTGAGGAGGTAAAGCACTTGCCATGCAAGCCTAACTTTCTGAGTTCAGCCCCCAGAAACTATGTTAAACAGGGAGGAAAGCTGGTCTTTGACACTCATGCAAGCATATACACACAGCATGCATGTTCTTAGACACTCATGGGTGTAAATGCACAACCACATACATACATGGCAGAAGAAATTGAAAGGAAAAATGAAAGGATGAAAACTTTGGTTCTTGGACATTTATCTACCTTCCTTAAAAGCTAAATTCATTGCTTCTAACCCCCTCCCCCCCCCCCTCAATTTGTAGGTATAAAAACTGCCTTCACCAGGAAAGTTGGGGAGACTGCTTTCATTGCACCTCAGTGTGAAATGATTCCAATTGAATGGGTCTGCCGAAGAATAGCGACTGGCTCTTTTCTCAAGAGGAACCCTGGTGTGAAGGAGGGATATAAGTTTTATCCACCGAAAGTAGAGATGTTCTTCAAGGTAATTGTGACATAGAACTACAAACTCAGAATGGTAGACATAGAAACATCTGAAACTATGTGTCCTACTAGAAATTGATGTAATGAAATAATTCATTCACATCTGTCCTCTCCCAGAAAAGCTGTTTTTATTCATGTGAATGTTTTGTCTACATGGATGTGTGTCACACACATAGTTTGAAAACAATGTCAATAGTGTATTTTTAATCAGAAAGCTGCACAACTTGTTATATACATTATAATTAAATTTACAAAAACCCCAGCACTCAGGAAGCAGAGGCAGGCAGATCTCTGAGTTTGTGGCCAAACTGGTCTACAAAGCAAGTTCTAGGACAGCCAAGACTACACAGAGAAACCCTGTCTCAAAAAACAGAACAAAACAAAACCACAAACTCCTGCAAACTTAAAACCATTTCCCCTTCCCTTAAGTATATAAAAATTTCAAATGTAAAAAACAAACAAACAAGGCTTTATTCCACAGCTCAGGCTGGCCTTGAACTAGCAATTCTTTTACACCTATCCTTTCCTTTAAATCTTACTTACAAGTAAGTATGGGTGTTTTGCCTGCATGTATGACTGCACCTGCAGGCCTGAAGAAACTGTCACATTTTTGAGCTACACAGTTACGAGCCACCAGTAAGTGCTGGGATCAAACTTAGGTCCTCCAGAAGAGCAGCCAGTACTCTAGAAGTACTCTAGACTACTGAGCCCCTGCCCTCATTACTTAAATAGTAGGCAGGAATATGGGTATGTACCACCAGGTCAACATGCAAGTAAACCTTAACTTTCTTCTTAATTTCTGCTCATTTACATTTATTTTTGTTAGTTCCTTGTAGCTGCCGTTTCTTTTGTAACGGCCGTCGGGTTCTGCTACTTTGTAAAGGCCGGCCAGTTCTGCTGCTCCGGTCCGCAGGTCAGGGTCTAGCAAGAGAGAGAGTGGGGACGGAGGAAGGGGAAAAAGGGGGCGAGAGACGCAAAAGATAGATACAAGACGGAGTCCGGTGGCGTCTCTTCAAGTCTCTTCTTTATTCTCCTCTCTTCTTACTATATTCTCACTCCTTCAGTCTCCTGACACCTCTCACTTTCTCACTCCTTCCTCTACTTCCTACTTCCTACTACCTCCTACTACTTACTACCTCCTACTTTCTACCTCTTCAATAGAAAGGAAATCCTGGTATTTATACCCTTTACCACGTGACTTGCCCTCGTGGACAATCTCAACTGAAGCCACTACGTCACGTGCCTTGTAGCCATGGATACCAGGAGCACCTGGCAGCTGGGGGCACTAAACAGTGTAACAAGATGTTTATCAGAGTGCGCTCAGCTATTGCAGGCTGTTGAAACAAGTCTCTTGTCAGGGTATATGGCTCAAGATGGCTGTAAAGATGATAGCCACTTTCGGCTAAGAGTCGGCTCCCAACAGTTCATCTTGTAAAAAAACATTTTCAGATTCCCCGTCCCTAACCTAGAATAAGTGACTCCTAATAACTTTAAAAATAATTAAAAGTATATAAGGTAGAGGCTGGAGAGATGGCTCAGCATGTAAGAGCACTTGTTCAAGGTTCAACTCCTAGTGCCACATGACTGTTCATATCACAGCTACTCTAGTAGTCTTGGGGTATGTGCTACAGTCTTCCGACCTCCACAGGCACGCATGTGCTATACAAGTGGTATAAAAACACACATAGACCTAAACAGACAAAGTAATGATTTTTTTTTTTTTTGGAAGTAGTCAAATTGGGGTCAGAATGGCGGTTCAGCACTTTCTACTCGTGCAGAGAACCAGAATTTGCTCTCCTCTCCATACATTTAGCACCCACATACACACAAGATACAAAAAATAAATTAAAATTCTAAAGTAGACGTAATGATTATTTGAATCATAGGATATTCTGGGAGAAAATTAGATTTAAAGAAGCACTTCTTAGGAACATATATTTAAAGGAAAAAACTTTTTTTCTGGAAAGTTGAAAATTCTTAAGATTTGAATGAACCATACAGCTCTGTTTTATTCTCAGGACGATGCCAATAATGACCCACAGTGGTCTGAGGAGCAACTCATCGCTGCAAAGTTTAGCTTTGCTGGGCTTCTTATAGGGAAGACTGAAGTGGACATCATGAGTCATGCCACACAAGCTATTTTTGAAATTCTGGAGAAATCCTGGCTGCCCCAGAACTGTACGCTGGTTGATATGAAGATTGAATTTGGCGTTGATGTAACCACCAAAGAAATTGTTCTTGCCGATGTCATTGATAATGATTCCTGGAGACTGTGGCCATCAGGAGATCGGAGCCAGCAGAAGGACAAACAGGTTTGTGGTGTCTGAGCTTACTTATCCAGCTGTGATAGAGGCAAGGGGGGAGGATATTAGTCTTGTTGATAAGTGCTTCGTTTTAAAAGTCATTCCTCAGGCTCACAACCATCTGTAATAGGATCCGATGCCCTCTTCTGGTGTGTCTGAAAACACCTACAGCATACTTGCATAAATAATATAAAGTTTTTTTAGAAAACAAATCATTTCTCCGCTGGAGATACAGCACGATGGCAAAGCACTTCCTTAGCACGTATGAGGCCCTGGATTCATTCTTCAGTACCAAAAAAGTCTCTTGGTGCTTAGAAATACTTTTTAACCTTTTTAATAGTTTTTGAATTTATCATCTTCAGATTCTGAAACAGTAAAAGAACAGATGTCCTTGTTTATCTGATAAGTAAGTATCCTCACAGCATCAAGGCTGTGATGGATCTGGAACTCTATATATACACCAAGTCTTCAGGGCCAAGAGGGGCTTTATACTTCTAACAAAATTAAGGCAAAATCCTGGTTATATGTACATGCTAATTCCATTCTTAAACCAGTTACTTTGCTAATAAAGAAAGCACTTGACCTTAAGTTACTTTCCTTCTCAACTTTTCCACTGAAAAAGTATTTGTATGTCAAGATGCAAGGTGCATTTTCATATACAGCTCATCATACAAACATGCATAATCGTGACTTGAAAGAAACATGTTTTAAGATAACAGGAGAAAGTAGTTTTCCAAGCTTTGTTTTATTTTCTAGTGTTATCGTGATCTCAAAGAAGTAACTTCAGAAGGACTTCAGATGGTGAAGAAAAACTTTGAGTGGGTTGCAGACCGAGTGGAGGTAATTCTTCTCTGGCAAACCTGTAATAACATTATGTATCTTATTTCATGACTTCGTTGGACTGAGAAATTAACTCAGTAGTTGGTAAAGTGCTTCCCTGCCTTACAAAAATGAAGGCCTGACTTTGCTTCTCTAGCAGCCATGTTAAAAAAAAAAAAAAATACCAGATGTAGTGGCGGGCATTTGTAATCTCAAGGTTGAGCCTTCGGAGGCAGTAGGACCCCCCCTGGTCCTTTCTTCTTCTACTGGGAATGTAGTCAGAATACTTGGCAAATTCCAAGACACTGAGAGTCCTTTTTTCACCAAAAAGAAAGGAAGGGAAGGAGGAAAGAAGGAAGAGAGCTAGACACATAGATGTGGCTGACCAAGATGGGCTAGCATTTAAATCACTTACTACACAGTCCCATTACCTTGGTCAATCCCTAGAACATTTATACTTCAAACTGAAAGGAAAAGGCCAAGTTTACAAAGTTCTTTGACCTCCACATTTATGCACATGTACATTCACAAAAATCAGTAGAAAAAAATTTGAGTGAAAGAGAAAAGCTGGGTGGCACCTGAGAATGTCCTCTCCACATGTGTGTATATGTGTATTTACACAGCAAAAATGAAAAATGTTTCAAACCAGGTGGAGCTTGCCAACAATTTTAGCTATTCCAGGGGCTAAGACATAAAGGGTTTCAAGTTTCAAGCCAGTGTGGCGCCTGATCAAGTGAAACTGGCTGAAGTAAAGAAAAGAATGAGGTGAGAGAGGCCTGTCTTCAGTGACCTGAACAAAAGGATTGCCTTTAGGAATGATCACAGCAAGCTACTTGCTGGTATACCAAAACTCTGCCACTGAGTTAACCATGCTGTTTCCAGATGCTCGTGTGGAACTCGGGGATCCTGTGTCTAACTAACCTGTTTCACTTTTTTTTGATATTACTACTATGAACCCATGAGAGTTGAACATGGATCATGATCACTTCATACACAAATATTTCTAACTTATCTATATTTACTGTTCAAAAAGCCAGCTAACAGGTTTTGATAACCTAATTTGGTTGAGATACCTTAAAGATTCAACAGGATATGTAGAAACCTCTGGCATGTTGGTGCGCATGCGTGCGTGCGTGCGTGTTTGAGACAGGGCCTCACTAGGTAGACCCCATTGATCTGCCTCCTTGGTGTTGGTATTACAGGTTTGTGTCACAGTGCCTAATGAGTTTGGTGCTGTTGTTATTGGCTGAGTTTGTTGTTTGTTTTGTTTTTCTTGATCTGTTTTGCTCAGCTTAATTTTGGTCTGTTCAAAGAGGAAATGTGCAGAATGACACAGACTTAATCCTAGCAATGGGAGGCAGATACGGCATGTCTCTGATGTTGAAGCCAGCCTGCTCTTCATAATGTTACCTGTCTAAGAAACAAACAAACAAACAAAATATACATGTCCTGGGGTTGTAGCTCAGTTTATAAGTGCTTGTCTAGCATACAAGAAGCCCTAGGTTTGATTGCCCGGGACTGCATAGACCAAAATTTGTAGCACGAGCCTGTGACCCACCTCTCAGGAGTATCACAAGTTGGAGGTCTTACTTAATTACCTGTGAGTGCCAGTCATATGTGGGAACCTTTCAAAAAGAGAAGGAAGAGAAGAGAGAAGGTAAGGGACATCAGGAAGCTGTCTGTACGTGAGTCGAGAGTGTCAGGACTTGAAGGTCATCCTTGGCTATATAGCATTCAGGCTCAACACCCTGACACATACACAAGAGTAAAAGATAAAACAGTTACATTGACTGTCACCCACTGTTCATGGTCCTGTTTTTCTTTTCAGTTGCTTCTCAAGTCAGACAGTCAGTGCAGGGTGGTAGTGCTGATGGGTTCAACCTCTGACCTTGCTCACTGTGAAAAAATTAAGAAGGCTTGTGGAAACTTTGGGATTCCGTGTGAACTTAGAGTAACATCCGCGCATAAAGGACCAGATGAAACTTTGAGAATTAAAGCAGAATATGAAGGTAAACTTTCAATAACTAGAGAACTTCTGATTTGAGTAAAAGATTTTAAAATACATAGTTTTGAATAACAATGCTTAAGAGTTTTTCCATATTTCCGAGGAAAAGCATGTGTCATGTGTATACTTTTATTACACTTATCTTTAGAAGGGATTCTGTAGAAGCCTATGAAAGAACAAGGCACCACTTAAAGACATAAAGGTAGCTAGCTGTTTAGTTGGTGAAATTCCTCATTTTCCTGAGTCTAAGCAGGAATAGAGAAGGAAGCTATGAGCCAGCCATTCCCTCACTGACCTCATGACATTTCTTTTATACAACAGATCTCAAAAATAGTCAAACCTATTCTGCCTAGGATATTGCTTACGATAGTTATGTGACAAGACGAACCATACATTTTGAACTTATGTATGTCATTACCCTCTACTTTCTCCATAGCAAACTACTCAAAGATTTGAAGTTCATTTCTTATTTTGTTTATTTTTACTGTGTGTGTGTGCAGATGCATGTACCAATGGCAAGAGCTCATCCTTTCCTACCATCTGGGTTCCAGAGGTCATACAGGTCATTGGGCTTGACAGTCAACACCCCTTATCCACTGAGCTGTCTCACCTGCGCTGTTTTGTACCTGGCTGTTCTTGTTGACAAAACAAAAGGACCTGACCATCTTATCATTTCCCTAGGGGATGGCGTTCCTACTGTATTTGTCGCAGTGGCAGGCAGAAGCAATGGTCTAGGCCCAGTGATGTCTGGTAACACTGCATATCCAGTTATCAGCTGTCCCCCAGTCACACCAGACTGGGGTGCTCAGGATGTGTGGTCATCTCTTCGACTGCCCAGTGGTAAGACCTTGAAAATTTTTAGTACTGTGTGTATTTCAAGATACAATCTCAATGTCTTTGTCCAGCCTCATCTATTAATAGTTGACTACATATTTTAACCACAGCATACTATTTTAAATCAGATTTTATATTTTTGAACTATTTATACTTAGAAGCTTAAGTATGCATCTGTAAGAAAAAGGATTTAAGTTTATTATCTTTTTTTTTTTTTAATTTTTAAGCTACAAACTCATTTTTCTGTCTTTTCTTTTCTGAACCAATAGGTCTTGGCTGTTCAACTATACTTTCTCCAGAAGGATCAGCCCAGTTTGCTGCTCAGATATTTGGGTTAAACAACCATTTGGTGTGGGCCAAACTTCGAGCGAGCATATTGAACACATGGATATCCTTAAAGCAGGCTGATAAGAAAATCAGAGAATGCAATTTGTAAAAAAAAAAAAAAAGCAATTTAATTTTTAGGAGAATAGTTACATATTCCTAGTTTTGATTTAAAGAAAAATCAAGCAAAATGATTTCATATAAGAGAAAACCATTCACTTTACTAATTGAACAAATGGTCCACAATGTTCCTGAGTCAGCACATTGTCAGTGCATATTATTAATATTTTCTAGCCTTACATAGTGATAGGTCCCTGTGACCTTAGCACACCAGAGGCTGAGGCCGCAGGATCAAGGCTACCCTGAACTGTGTATTGAGACTCTATGCTTCCCTGGGAAGGAATCTTTATAGTTAGTACATCCCATCCTCTGTGTAGTCACTGTTGGTTAGTATGTCATTATGGAACTGGAGTGATGTGTCTGCAGCTCAAGAACCAGTAGGGCTCTCTTGTAGACAGCCTGAGCTTGGTTTCCAGCATGTATGTAGACGGCCTCACAGTAAATAACCTTTAGTCGGGGACCCTGACCCCATGGCTTCCTTATGCACCCGCTCTCAAATAATATCCCATTCCCCCACCCAACACACAGAATTTTAAAAAATAAAGTTTTTAAAAGAGTATTGTTTCTAAATGGTAATAGCATTTTTTTATTATTCTTCAGTAGATACTGCTTGATCTGAGTTGACACTTTGGAAATTAAAATATTTGTATTGTGTATAACAATATATTCTCGCTTCATGATCTGTACATTCTAAGTCATTATTTAAGTTAATGCTACATGAATCTCCAGCTTAGGAATGTATTTGTGCTTTGTTGGGGTTTGTTTTTATAGTGGTGAGGAAACTTTAGGTCCTTCCCTATGCTTTAACCCTGGTTTGTTTGGGGGTATTTGATTTTTTTTTAAGAAATTGAGATTAGGGGTAAAAGAAAGAGGTGTTAGCAAGGGCGCTTTCCTGAGGTCTTTGGGCAGTAGGAATAAAGCCATTCCAGGGAAAGATGGAATAAATACTGCTTAGCTGCTTAACTAGGATTAGTAGTTACCTCTCTGGTAAGACATTTGCCACACCTGCAGTCACCATCCTGCCACCATTTTCAGAAAATGAGTCTCTAGTTTGTAATCATGATTAAGGAGTGGGTGGGTGTAGTGGGCTGATTGGTTGGTTTGCTAGTGTATATCTGAACAATGGTCCAGATTCACTTCTGTAGGAGCCAATGTTCTAGGAAATCCAAATTTTGTGTTTCATGAAGCTTAGTATAGATCTGTCACAGTGTTTCCCCAGCCTTTGCCATAGTCATCATGTCTGCTTTAGGAAAGTGACTGCTAGTACACTGGTGCGGTTGGGCCTCTTGTTTACCTCTCTCTTCTGCTCTACTTCTGCGCCTTAAGGACTCTCAACAGTGTTGACTATATTTACTAAGCCTAGCTTGAGGCTCCTTTCACTGGCAACTGCTGTGCCAGCATGTTTGCTACAGATACGCACGCAAAGTCTAGGGATGGCACAATTGTAGGTTATAGAATTCTTTATGTGAGTGATTACAGCATTATTTCATTGTACGTTTTTGTTAAATAGGGAAATTTATTGTAGTTTATCTTAAACCCATAATCTAGTATTTGGTGATAGAGCAGTACAGTGACCTGTGGGTTACTAAGCTGTGATCTGAGCATCCATGAGCTTGCATGTAAACTAACATGCTCACCTCTATGAGAAGGGACTTTAGGTTTGCTCCAGAGGGATTATGACCCTCAAGTGTTAAGCTGCTACAGATAGAGTGGTGGCAGGCCCTTACCAGTCTGTGTTCCCACCTTTCAGAAGCTTACTATTTATTTACTTGGGCCTGTTAGGTGTGACTAGCTAATCATTCCTTCAGTTGGACATTGAGATAGTTCAGACTTAGTCTTTTCTCACCCTGTAGCAGAATATCCTCCTTTGTCTCCTTCAGCAAAACATTTCTTCATGTGTTTGCCCCAGCAAAACACCTGCTAACACATCTTTCCAAAGAACCCTTCAGTTTCTACTTTACCTTGTCTTTTAAAAAAGATTCATAAACAAAACTTACCACTTGATTTTACAGGTTCTTTAGGTACTGTTAAAAGTTACTCGTGTGAGTAGGGTCTGTTAACTGTGATCTCAGCTACTCAAGAGTTTCACAAGGTCAAGGCCAGCGTGGGCTATGTGAGACCCTGTTTCAGAAAGGGAGAGGTGTGAGGGATGTAGTCTGGTGGTAGAGCACTTCTCAAGCATGCATAAGGCCCCTGTACGATGAATCACTTTTCCCCTACAAAAGTTAAAATGTCACTTGGGTTTCATCTTCCCCTGAGTCTACATAGCCATGGTGGCTATAACACTTCTCTCTCTGCTGGATTATAAACTTTGATGCGTGGGTTTATCTTAAGGGAAGAAGGCGTGCTGGTAGGAGTCCATCATGCTTCCACAGGCAGAAAGCAAAAAGGCTGGTGCACTGCTTGCTTTCTGCTTCTCACTCTGTCCATGGCCCTCACCCCTCGGATGCTGCCACCCACACTCAAGATGAGTCACAGCCAACAGTGCGTTTCCACAGTGATTTTTTTTCACCTGTCAACTTGACAGTGAACATTAATTATCACTCTGCTATGCATAGGTAGCTACTGGAAATTAGAGAATTACACAGTTTTTCAATGCCAATTTGTGACATTAAAGGGACATCTAGTCAGGCTTACTGTTCCTTGAATAGCATAGCTATGTGTTGATATTTCTGCTCTACTAACCCTTTTGTGGATGAGCCTACCTATGGCACATCAAAAGTTTTAATCATGGATAGACTAGTTAATTGAATCATTAACTGGTCATCAGTTCTACCATTTGTTTTTAATAAGTGTACATGTGTAGGTACGCGCACACATGTGTTGGTGCCCTCAGAAGATTAGAAGTGTCAAAAGATTTTTTTTTTTCTGGAGATAGTTATTGCCTGAGATGGGTCAAATTCAGATCTGGAAGAACGGTAAATGGGCTTGGCCACTGGGAGATTACTCTAACCCTTCCCCCAGTTAGTTCCTTACTGTCCAGTATAATTAGTGTTGAGTATGTCTGGAAGTATTTTGTAAAAGCATACAGAGACTTTGACATTTCCATGGTTTGTAGATGAACTTTGTTTTTTGAGACAATTTAATTGTGCGAGTAGTCTAGTTTTTGTTGAGACACTGACATGCAGCCCACATTTACCCCACACTTGATCTACAGAGCCCGGGGTAACCTTGAACTGTAAATATGTATACATATATAGGGATGTATGTGCTTGTCCCTGGCGGATTACTATGCTACATTATGTAACCTATATAGAAGATAAGATTCTAATTAACTCGCCATGAAAACCACCCTGACTAGGAGCTCCAGCCGCTTGGTTGGCTTCTGGACTGTGGAGCATGCAGTCTGCCATTATTTAGCACAGGAATCCCTAGAGCCGGTTATCCTGTAGTTCAGGATATGGAAAGTTAGGAGCTGAGGATGATATGGGCAAAAGAGCACTTATCTCTTGGGATTGTTGGTAAAAAACAGTGTCTGTGGGAGCTTCTCAGGAATCCTAACGGGCCATGTTTATTCATATACAAACAAGCTTTTCAGTGCCTACATAATGACAATGTTGCCAATAAGAGATGCCCAGGTAGCTGATAAAGTTATTTCTGTGAATGTTTCTGGAAGAGAATAGCATTGAATATAGACTGAGTAAAACCTGTTGAAGGACAGACCAGAACAAAAAAAAAGTATAATTTGATTTCTGTTTGAGCTTGGAACACATCATTTGCCCTTAGCTGTCATGTTTGACCCAGAACCATTACTACTATTTTGGGGTTGGGTTGGGGGGTGGTAGCTTGCATATGACAGAGTGTGGGATTTCTTAGCTTCTCTAGCTGTCAAGCTAAGCAATTCTAGGTCTCTCTCTCTCTCTCTCTCTCTCTCTCTCTCTCTCTCTCTCTCTCTCTCTTCTCCCCCCACCCCACCCCCGTGTGTGTGTGTGTGTGTGTGTGTGTGTGTGTGTATACACTCACCATTGCTTCTCTTTCCCTGGAGCCTTCCCACAAATACAACCTATAATGTATGTGGGGTCAGATCATTTCAAAACATTAAATAGTCCTTTGTAGTGTTTGGGGATTTGAGTTGGTTTGGTTTTGGGTGTGTGGTTGTTTTGGTTTTTGTTCATTTGTGTGTTTTGTGGGATTCCTCCCCCCAACAAGAGGTTGAACCTATAGCCTTGTGCATGCTACTTTAACGGCTACCACTGAATTAGTGTAGCACTTCAGTCCTTTAATGATCCTAATACAGAATGACAGTACTTTTGATAGACTTTCTGATCTTTTATTATTAATAATTATATTTGTTTACATTTCAAACGTCCCCCTTCCTGGTCTCCTCAAACCCCCCAGCCCTTGCCCCTCCCCTTTGCCTCTAAGAGGGTGCTCTCCCACCTACTCACCAGTTAGAACAGCTAAGACCAAAACCTCAGGTGACAGCAGATGCTGGTGAGGGTGTGGAGAAAGAGAACACTCCTCCATTGCTGGTGGAATTGCAAGCTGGTACAACCACTGTAGAAATCAGTCTGGCTGTTGTTCCTTGGAAAATTGGAAATAGTTCTACCTGGAGATCCAGCTATACCACTCCTGGGCATATACCCAAAAGATACTCCACCATATCACAAGAACATGTGCTCCACTCTGTTCATAGCAGCCTTATTTATAATACCAAGAAGCTGGAAACGACCCAGATGTCCCTCAATGGATGAATGGATACAGAAAATGTACATTTACACAATGGAATACTACTCAGCTATTAAAAAACAAGAACGTCATGAATTTTGCAGGCAAATGGATGGAACTAGAATATATCTTGAGTGAAGTAACCCAGACCTAAAAGGACATACATGGTAGGTACTCACTGGTGGCTGGATATTAGCCTAAAAGCTCAGAACACCCACAATACAACTCAGACCATATGAAGCTTAACAAGAAGGAAGGCCCAAGTGTGGATGCTTCAATCCCACTTAGAAGGGGAAACAAAATCACCGGAGGCAGAGGGAGGTAAATAGGTGGAAGATGGAAGGGGGAAGGAAAAGAGGAAACATGGACCAGGTATTTGAAGAGACAGAAAGTCCAGAGGGCCAGGAGAATGAATAGTGGGGGGTGGGAAGGCCCAGATGCCAGGGATGGGAGAGGCTCCCAGAACCCAATGGGGATGATATTAGCCAAAATGCCCAACAGTGGGGAGATGGAACCTGAAGAGACCACCTCCAGTAGATAGGCATCTCAAAATTTTAACCCAGAATTGTTCGTGTCTAAAGGAAACACAGACAAAAGCAGAGACTGAAGGAAAGGCCATTCAGAGACTGCCCCACTTTGGGCTCCATCCTATCTGCAGACATTTTTGCAGATGCCAAGATGTGCTTGCAGACAGGAGCCTGGTATGGCTCTTCAGCACCTGACTAAGACAGATGCAGATACTCAGTTTCTGATGTTTAAAGAAAGGAAAAAGGGTCTCCATCCTCAATTGTCATCCTCAATTTCTCATAGAACTTACCACCACTTAGTATATTGTTGTTTACTGTCTATCTCATCTAACTAGGAAATGCATAATCCAAATACACTGGACATCTTATTTATCT